CCCATCCTTCATAGAGTTCTTCAGACTCTTGTTTCTAATCACTCAGTACACTCTAAGGTCCATATGCATGTCACTCTGAGTAGAGAATAGTACAATGGGAAAACAGATGAGCATGAAGACAAGAGTCACACATGATGTCCTGAAATGCTACCACACAGGACTGACTTTTCATTTCTCTCTCTAGATGTTTATACTCATTTTTAAATTTCAATCCTTCAAAATATCCCTCCTCAACTTAAACACAACACAGAACATTATCATTATCACCACCATCGTCCTCTACAGCGTCGATGGTGAACCGTCTGCTTTTCTGAAAATGGTGTGATTGTTTTCTCATTAAGTTGTAACACTAGTCTGAGGGAGGGTGTTGATTATCGTCCATTACACAGATGAAGATGTTGTAACGATGAGAGGTCGTGTGACCTATACAAGGTAACGTGACTATTGATAGTCCTGTTCAGATGCAGATGGTTTACCTGCATACATGCCCACGAACTATGTTTCTGTATCCTACATCTAAATAAATACTGACTTAAACATTTAAAGGCTTGATTGAAATACCTTACATGTATGTATGGGATTCTCAAAGAATTAATAGAGATATTTTATCTAAAATGCAAATAAATTTAAGGACTAATTAAATAAATTAAATGACTAAAAAAGATGTCATTTCCTAAGAACTGTTCTCTGGAAGACCTCTCTCCTGCATTTCATGATGCTGTATCACAAGATATGCACTAAGTGGGTCATCAGTATCCCTTGAGAATCAGGACTTTTTGCTTCATTTTTACTTTTGTTCTCACAGATTTGTTGTTTTCATTTTGAACAAAATGTACAACTACTTTATCTTTGCCAAGATGAAAACAATTCATATAAAATTCACAGCAGTTAAACCACATTAGACTTTATCTTTTTTCTGCAAAACCATCATGTCTCATGTATGTAATGTCCTAATAGTTCTTTAATATCACCATGGCCCTACCTCTTACTTTGTTAGTTTTTGAGGCACACATTATCAGATACTTAGCTCTTCTTTCAACCCCAGCCATTTCTGTATTTTGTCTAGATTTGTTAGTCTGTCAGGTCATATTGAATCCTGCTACCTAGAATGATCATTTGTAGAGTGTCTTCATTGGGCGGGGATGCTGTTGTTCTTTGCTATCTTCTCGCCCTCCTTTATTGGTTAGCTAATTCATTTGTTTTAGTTACTGCTGTATTTCAGCAATCCACTTAATCTCCAGAGTTTCCAGACAATTAATGCTCTGCTCACTTTTCATTGTTCTGTAGTTTAGTATCCAATACTATGGTCGATTGAAGACAGTTTTGACAGTTTGATTTATTATTTTTCTAGACATTCTCATGAAAATATTTCTTTTTCCCAGTTCCCTTTTGTATTGACTTCCTTCAGCTGTTTGGCTTCGTTTTGTCCTTCCTGCCATGGGAATGGTTGGGAGAACTGTTTTATGTGTTGCTGAGAAAAGAAAAAACTGCACCCAGTGAAACTGATAGATTGCTTCATGGTTTTCAGAGTTTATAGATTAGTCTCTTTGTTGTTTTTTTTTTTGTTGTTGTTGTTGTTGTTTTATTTTGAGGCAGGGTCTGCCTATGTAGGCCAGGCTAGCCTCAAACTCAGATCTACCTGCCTCTGTCTCCTGAGTGGTGAAATTAAAGGCATGTTCCTACTTGCCAAACTTAGATTAGATTTGTCTTATTAAAGGAGTCATGTGAGTCTTAAATTGTGATCTCTAAAAGAATAGGCTTACCTGAAAAGTCCAATAGATGGCTCACAGATAAAAGGTAGGGCTCCCTTTTCTATCTTTGTCCTTCAGAGAGGATCTGGTTGTTTGTTGATCAGTCACTGGGTCAAGTAACATGTAAATAAAGCATGGAAAAAGAGTTCACTCTCAGGAATAGCAGCTGTATTTCAGTGACTTCCTAGATCGTTGCTACTGAATATTGATATTCCAATGTCAAAAAATGAGAAGAATTCTACATCTATGCTTGACTAACTCAAATGGTTTAATATGAACTTTATCACTGGTATAAAAAGGGTGCTGCTTGTTGCCTTCTGAAAGCGCTTCTATTTTTCTCATGGTTACTTCTTGTCAGTTTGTACTACTGTGCCATTTCTGTTAAACAGATATACACTCTTTAACATACAGTGAGTGATTTTATTGATCACAGAAATAATGCTGCTTCTACATTCTGTAAGTCATGTCTTCATCTGTTTGGTTTTTCTGCCTGTTCAATTTGTTGAGTTTTACAGTGAGAAGTTAGAGCATTTTGGTAAATTTTCATCTTCCTTTCTTTTGATTTCTCAGTCAAATCCCATGTTATAGGGATATGCTTCATTGTGGTTACAGAACTGTGAGGCTGTGGGAAATTTTATATTGCCTCATGCCTCATTTTATGTATGCCCCATATAATGTAATTTTCCTGCTTACTTGCATAAATCACAAAATATAAATATGTATATAATATAAAATATGTATTTTTAAAAAATATATTTATTTTTTAATGTATATGAGTACAATGTAGGTGCCATCATTTCCCATGACAGATGGTTGTGAGCCACCATGTGCTTGTTAGGAATTGAACTCAGGACTTTGGGAAGAGTAGTCAGTGCTCTTAACTGCTGAGCCATCTCTCCAGCTCCTGTATTTTTAAGTTTTTGTCCTTCCTGACTTTTGTGGTTGTTTATTGTGTTCAGTTTATATTTGAGGATATCAGGAATTTTTATTTGTTTTGTAAGTTCAGGCTTATGGTTTTAGTGACCGTAACATGACACAAATTTGTTGTTACAATAGTTTATATTCCTTATCATGACACCATGCCTGTGTCCTTACACAGAAAAGAGGGTAATTATCTTATACATAGTGGGCTGTAAGCACATATAGCCCAGTGCTGCTCTGGATAGGACTCATCTGGTTGTATAACTACATGACAGATGGGACCAGGGTAGATGGCACTTTGAGTAAAAGATCAAGAAGCAAGGCTGGAAGCCATGGGGAATTTAGACCTCCTCTAACAGGTTGCTATCACTCAGACGTGATGGCATGTGTTTGTGATTTTAGTAATTAAGAGGATTTCTAACTCAAGTTCATTGTAGGCCACATTGTGAGATCCTGTCTCTAATGATATGAAAAACAACAAAAAACTTTCTTGAAAGCTTACTCAGGGCCCTACAAGTCCACCCTTCAAGTTACATGCCCACAGAGACCGATGGACCGATGACCTCCATGGAGATGCAACATCTTACATATCTCAATATTTGAACACAGTATTCTTTGATGCAGGCTTCCAGCACATGTGGCTTTCAGTGAGGAGGAACACTGAAGATATTTTCTAACCACAGCAGGCACTAGCCATATGATGGGTCATATCTTCTTTGAGTCATTTTGCTTCTTGTGTGTTAAAAACTATGACAATTAGGTATCATTCATACCCTTTTGGATCTTATACTACACACACAATGTATGCACAACCTTATAGGTTGAAATGTATTCATATACAATTTTATTTGTTCTTCAAAATACAATTGCTCCTAAGTACTTAATTGGCTTCTTTCTGAAGGTGATGTTATCTTAGCTACCCATGAAGGACTGCATTAAGTGAATACTGCAGACTCAGTCTCAGATCAAGATGAATTTCCCTTTGTTTCTTAAATGCTTGGAATAAAACTTGCATATAGTAATTCAGGAAAAGCCCCATGGACCTAATGTAATTATTTTTTGTTTGTTTTACTGAGCTTATCTTATATGTATAACTTTCTATATATCTATGTCTTTCTTTGTGTGTGTGTCAGCTGCCATAGTTTAAATAGTTTCAGCAGCATAAAGTCTGAGTCTGATTAGTAACATCCTGCATGGTTCTAGATAAAATAGTGAAGTCAGACTATATATATCAACTAGCACTTTTGTCCCAGTTTTTTAAATTTTGTCCTTGGAATGGCTAAGTCGTTTCTCAGAACTGATTTCTTTCTGAGTTGTTTAGAGGACAGTCTTCCCTTCATTGTTCTAGTGATCCTTTCAGGGATCCTTAAGGGATGCTCTGTGCTCTGTTGTGGTACCTGGCACACCTTATGTGCCGTGCATCTTTATAAGCACATGATGGGATGACTTTAAGGTCTGGCATGTGTCATTGCCAGTCGCCATTGGTGTACAATTAAATCCCAGTAACCAAATTTGAACTGTGGACATGATGGCTGCAGCAAGGTCCTCAAATGCTTTATAAAACTCAGTCACTCCAGCCAAAGAGACACCAGAACACTTGTTCATTCGTTTTGCCTTGTAATTGTTTGCCTTGTAAATCATAGGATGCCTTAAAATAAGAGAACATAACTTTTGACTAAACTTCCATTTTAATAGTTTTCTGTCATTCATCATCTAAACAAAAGTAAGTTAAGGAAAAATACTATTATTGGTACATTAACTTGTCATGCTTGAAAAATAGCTGCATATTATCTGAGTGCGTTAATAGGTACCTGTCTGTCTTTTTTAAAAGTTGTTACTTTGAAAGCATTTTTTGTTAATTTATAATTTATATTTATTTAAATATAGTCAATTCTTGAAACCTAAAATAATTATGTGTATGTATCTGTGAAAATTCCAGTTATTAATTTCACTAGGATAATAGGGTTTTGGATGTCTTCAAGCTTACATAAAATAAATAAGAATTTAAACTGACTTCAGAAAACTTGTGATTGGCTTTTTATTAAGTATCAGAATGTATATTCAATGATGAAATCAACACTTCACAAACTGTAAACATGTATTCCTATTAAAACAACTATGGTTAACATAAAACCTGAAGGTGAAGGTGGTTTTATTATGGATGAAATGAGGTTTGGTAGGGCATGCAGTTGTACACTCTAAAATATTACCTCACACATTCTGAATTTGTTTTTTCCAGAAGGTAATGGTGACTTTGAAGTAGAAAAATATTGATTCTTCATACTATAGCCAGAGGGATGTTAATACATTTTCACCCTTTTTCCCCAGCACACTGATTTATGTCAGTACATGGACAAGCACCCTGGAGGACTCCATCCAGATAATGTGAAGGTAGGAAACAGGATTTTAAAGCTATGGATTCATATTCTTCATGTGTATATTTTTAGTGTAAAACTAAATTTCTATGATCATTTAAACAGCTTTAAAAATCTTCTGTATAAGGGACATAATATTAAAAAGAACTAATTGTTATTTTAATTGGTGGGATTTATGGTGTTTAAATATTAGTTTTAATACAGAAACTTTTGGATTGTTTTGTACTGTGTAGCAGCTTTTAGTTATATTATATATTTTATACAATAATATAAATGATGATTTCAGATAACTGAGTGAAAAGAACATTTGTGATGTATAAGTGCCTTTATTCAAGTTTTAGCAAAGAAATATATAATTTCTCTGTTTTTTCTTTAGACATTTAGTATATCCTATCCCTCTTGAGTTTTTAATCTTGGATTAAAGGATATTTTCATTTTAAAAAGAAAGATAAAAAATATGTTCTATGACTAGAATGTGTTTATTGTTAAAGTTACACACTGAGGCTGTGCGTTTTGCTACCATTACAAGGATTTACACATGAGATTCCTGCTGTACTTCAGAGTTTTCTTAATTCATATGATTAATGTTTTCAACGTCATACTAAAATAAAACTTAAGTGTAAACCATCAGAGAAAGAAAGAGAGTGTAAGAGACAGAGAGAGAGAGAGAGAGAGAGAGAAGAAAAAAGAATTACACTAGCAAAAAGGAGTGGCGCATTGTAGTGAAGTAACACATTGGCTCTTCCTCAGCGTTTGCTAAAAGGCAAGTCGTTCATCCAGGGTTACATTTAGGATTTACACTGCAGGTAAAATCATTCTCAAATATATCTGACAATAATATAGTGACAGATGCCTCATTGGTATCTCCGTTTGATGTATTAACATGTTTTTGAATGTGATGATATTTATTGTCACTTCAATCTATGAATACAAAGTGAAGAACATAATAATAATATTTAGTAAATTAACAACTGTTCATAATACTGTGCTAGATATTAATTAAAAGGAAACCACTTGGGCTAAAAATGAGACATTGATGTAGTTCTACATGAGCATACAGAGATTTGACAATCAGGTGAAATGATGTTATCTATAAAGTTTATGTCCTAGGCTGACAAGGTGGCCAAGTGAGTCAAAGCCCCCATCTCACATAAGCTTGATGACCTACTTAAAATCACAGGATCCCATAGAGGAAGGACAACACACACTCCAAAAGCTGTCTTAAACACGCATGCTGTAACACACGTGTGCCCACACTCACATACAAATCACACACAATAATAACAATAACATATTTAAATTAGAATGTATATTAGAAGGATTTTGAACTCATCTAATGCACAGGGTTTGGCTAAACATGTCAGATATCATCAAATGATCAGAGGATAATACTCACTATATATTATGGTTAACAAAAGAAAAGTGAAATGGCCGAATTAATTAGCATGCAGATTTGACTGTTTTGACTATTAGTTTTCCAAGTGTTCATCTTCACAATTTGTAGCAGTGTTTTAAAACTGTATCTAAAATTTAACCAATGTACATATTTTCTTTGTTTTTATTTTATACATACCTGTTTATTATGGAGAAAATATGAATGACGGAGCAGGGAGATTGCTCCATGGGTAAAAGCGCTTACCACCAAGAGCGAGGATCTGGGTTCCATACCTAGGACTTGTTTGCTGTAAGGAGAGAGCATCCTCCCACGATTTGTTCCCTAATAGACAGGGTCGCACATGACACCCTGCAAGCACACAGAACAAATAATATACCAGATTAAGTAATAAACTGATGAAAGGTTGCTTTGGGCTGAATTTCAAGTATCACAAAGCTAATAAGTCATGGTAGACTGGAGACAGTGAGGGAGCCCTTAGGCTGGCCTTTAGCCTCTGGATCCATAGGCGTCCCTGAAACATTTTAAGCTATTTTTTATATTTGAGCAAAATATTTGTTTTATTATTTGTCTAGAGCATTCCTTAGATGTACTGGGATAAGCGCAAGAAAATAAGTCAGTTTTAAATAAATTTTCCCAAACATTTTGCTACTTTAATTGCCTACTGAATGTGTCTATTACCAGTATGATATTTTGAAATAAACATTAACTCTTAACTAATAGTTAATTTCTAAGCATTATGTAAATGTCTGACAAATGAGTAATTTCAGCTATTAGTCATCGAGAAGACGAATGTGACCCTGATGTAAAAGCCTGAGGACAGGGCCTCTTTATTAATATTTATGATGATTAAAGAAATAGCAGCTCATTTCTATAACATGAAAGTTAGTATGTAGGAAACTGCTTAGCTTTCTTGGAGACTACTTCGTTTTCTGCATTTTAAGTATTGTCTATTTCAAAGCATGTTGGAGTTTGGTCATAATTAACTAACATACAAAACTTGTATCAGGTTGCAATCTTATGCCCATCACTGAGCTGCAGATTGGCTACTGGATTTTATAAATGACTGAAACAGTTTAAATGTTCCCCTTTACTCAGGTTTCATGTATTTAAAAATTGATAAGCATGAGAGACTGGAAATTAAGGTTCATGGAAAAAGGAAAAGATGAATTGACACAGTCTCTAGCTAACAGACAGAGATGTAGATGGTAGCATCTTATTATCATGATGAGATTGAGTCTTCCTGTGTTTTATGTAATATATTTCCATTTCTGTGGCATAATTACTTTGCTAGATGATTCTTTGCAAAATTACATTTCCCATCTTTTTTTTTTTAAGCAACTGCAAATGACCAAAGTTAATTTTGAACTCCTTGCTTTATTCCCTGAAGTATCTGAAATCCTATTGGTATAAAAACTAACTTCTATTTTTCATTTCGATAGAGATACTAATTAAAATAATATGAAGTTGATTATGGTTGAAAACTTGCTGTCGTTCTTCCATAGTCCAGAGAGCAAGCAGGTGTGTCACAGATAAACAAATGTGATGCCAAATTAAGTTTGCCTTATGCAGATGGCTCTGAGCATACATCCCTAAATGAGACTTTCCAATACCCAGAGAGAAAGCCAAATGACACCTGATTTTCTCCACATACTTCATTAGAGTTCTCATTTAGGTAGTAATGATGCCCTCTCATGCGTTGGCAGGAGTACTATAGAGCTTTGCCTAATTCTGTATGTTAGGAAATATGAGTCTTTTCATGAGTCTATTAAGTAGTATTTTTTTTAATTCTGCATTTTATCTGGATGCCTGCCCAAGAATCTCTTAAACACTTTTATCCTGTTTTTATTATAAGATATAACATTCATTTCTAAAAATTAAAGGATTATTAAAGGATTGAAAGTAAAATTATAATAAAATGATGCATATCATTCCATAATGTATTAGATATACAAGGGGCAGCTAAGAAGGGAATCTCATGATTAACATGGGAGGCAGACCTTCAGTGGAGTCATTTGCTGATATGGTTGTTAGCTAATGGAGCTGACAGAGGAATTAAGGCCAGATAATTAAATAGTACACTCTTCCATGTCAGTGTTTTACAACTCGAATTTAAAGGATGAGAGAATACAATCACTAGAATCATGCTATATATCATTATATATAACTGTAAGGCAGAAGCACCCAATTGGGAGCACCCTCTGGGAACAGGAGAGAAGTCGTGCTAGGACTCAGACTTAAGCTGCTTATTCACCCTCCTTCTCTCCTCCATAGAACAATGCATGTTGCATAAACACTTGTGTTTTATGTTTATCAAGTCCAACAGGATGCCCATAAAGGAAATCAGCAGGTTCAGTAGAGTTGCACACTCTACTCACAACTTTTCTGATTGTCCTGGCTAAGCATGGGTTTTATGTAACTAGCCAGGAATGCTTGAAAACCTATTATAAGCCATAGGCATTATATTAACACTGTGCAGATTTTTATTACTTCACACACCTCTGTAGGGTTATTAAGAGAATTTCAGTGATTATGTATACCTAAACTCACTAGTCTTTGATTATTACATTTCTCTTGAAATTCTTTTTTTCTCTGTGGTGTGGCTTTTTATGACGAATATTCTCCAACATTTTGAGACTTGATTCATTATTTGTTAGTCTGTCAGTGTGTATCTTTATCTCTCTCTCTAGAACAAATTTATATTAGCAGTCTCAATTTATATCAAAATATTTTTTGCTGTCTTGTCTCTTAAGATGGTATAGACACCAAAATCATTGAAATATAAATGATTGTCCATTTTCATTTTGTGAGACAATAATTTCTGCTAAATTTTTAAATTTAGATTGATTAGCAGTTCTGTTAAACAGAATCCTTGACATCTGATCAGTTTCATATCAACTTGACACAAGCTATAATCATTAGGAAGAGGGACTCTCAATCGAGAGAATGCCTCCATAAGACTGGCCTACAAGAAGCCTGGTCAGTTCCTCGATTAATGATTGACATGGGAAGGTCCATCCCTCTGTGGGTGGTGCTGTCCCCTAGACAGGTGCTCCTGGGTTGTATGAGAAAGCAGGCTGAGCAAGCTAGGAGTGGGCATGTCAATAAGCAAGATTTCTTCATGTTTCTGCTTTGAATTCTTGTTCTGATTTTTCGTCATGCTGAATTGTGATATACAAATGTTAACTGAAGTAAACTATTACATGCTTAAAGTACATTTGGCCTTGCTGCTCAATCTAGGCAATAAAACCCCAATTAAGACCAATGACTGTATTTCATCAGCCATAGCCTGGTAACTTCTTCAAGCTTACATATTCTATCAGATCTGTGTAACCTGCAAACACATTTGACTCCCTGGGAGTTTCCTAGAACTAAATCTAGCAGCTTCAGCCTGCTCACTCTGGGCATTGTCTTTCTTGGTGTCCACTGTTTTATGCTAAAATGTGAAGGAAGGTGGGATGGAAGACAACTGACTTGATGAGCCCAACTTCTAAATAAAATGAAAGCACTTATTCCCACAAGAGCTTGTTACATACCTTGAAGTCTCATTTTAAAAAATTATTCCTGGCAGAAAGCTATTATCTTTAGAGAAAATGTGTTAGTGTTCCAGGATCTTAGAAATG